CTCAGGAAAAACCCGGGATAACCATGATGGGCAGGTAATGTGTCTAGTGTACCGACCTACATCATCGTGTCCGAAGCGTAGACCGGTGATTAAGCAAAACTCCTCCCGCCCAAAACATGTATACGCCGGTGGAAAATCAAACCATATCTCTTCATCACGATGTTGTATAGTATCTGGTAGATCCCTAGTCATGGTTTGAAGAAACAGGTGTGTCAACATCGCATCTCCACCGGGATGTTGTACTTTCAGCCATGGCCCGAAGCAAGTATCCTCAAACATTTTTCTTTGTGCAGGTGAAAGCTTCGACGCAATTGTTTTGGCCAGGCTGACTTTATTCTTTAAGGTCAATTGAGCCGAATAAAAGTTCTACAAAAACAATAAACATACTAAGTTAGATATACCAAAAACTACACTGTGAAGATATACCAAAAACAATAATAAACATAAAGAGTAGTAGTTTATTCTTCAAACTTAAATTTGCAACACTGTGAATTTCTTATTTCTCTTTGTTTTTTGGTTGAAGTAATGCAATTCATTCAAGTTTCAATTTGCAGAAGAAGAATAGTTTCTGAAAATGAAAATCGCAACACGAAAATGACAATCGCAACGTGAATTTGACTATCGCAACGAGAGAATAAAATCGCGTTGCGATTTTGTCGTTGCAATTTTCATTTCGCGTTGCGATTATCGGTTGATTTAATAAGCAATCTAAGTGAAATGGTTAATCTATTATTGAAATTACTAGTAAACTTATCATCAATTTCAATATGAAAAACCTAATAATAATGCAAAAATTTCAAAAAGAAAATAATTAAAAAAACTAACCCTCGGTGGTTGATTTGGTTGATTTTCCATTTCTGATTGTGAGGGTGGCTCTGAGAGATGGAGATAGACGGATTTTGCCGGAGATGGGGACGGATTTCGTCGAAGATGGGTGAGAGAGTGAGAGATGGAGATGGGACTGAGTTGTGATTTTAGGTTTTAGGTTATGAGTTGCGATTATGGGATATACTGTGGACGGTTCAGTGTTCCAATATATTAATATTCGTGTTTGGAATTTGAAAATAAAATACGCGTTGCTATACTAATGGCGCTTTGAAAATCCCATTGCGATTATGTATTATCTCGTTGCGAAAGTCAGTATCGCGTTGCGAAAGTAAGTATCGCGTTGCGAAAGTCAGTATCGCGTTGCGATTTTGTATTATCGCGTTGCGATAGTCAGTATCGCATTGCGATTTTCCCAATTCGCGTTGCGATTTACTTATTCGCATTGCGAATTGGGAAAATCGCAACGCGAAATTGAAAAATCGCATTGCGATAGTCATAATCGTGTTACGAATCTGGAAACTGATTTGCGATAATGGAGATCACGTTGCGAATTAGCGATCGCATTGCGATTTTGTTGGTCATTTTGGCAAATCCGGAAAAAGTTGGTTAAAATCGTATATTATATGGGATTTTTGGTCACTGAGGCTATTTTCTCTATGATAAATGGGTTAATGATTATGATAGAAATCATGATAATGATGGTATATGTGCATGTATACATTTTGTTATATGTTTTATGATTTCCATTATATGTTTATATAACTCACTAAGTCTATGACTTAGCGTGTAAGTGTTTTACACGTAGGTACCGAAAAGCAGAGAGATCCATTATAAGCTCAGCAAAACAACATAACTCCACTTGAAGGTCAAATCAGAAATAGATTAAATAGTATGTCTTATTATGTGAAAATAGGTTGGCATGTAAACAAAGTTGGTAAATTAAGTATTTATGCTCTGATCAAGTTTTGTAATGTTTTAAACCTATTTATGTAAATGTATAGTAATGAACGGTTAAATTTTTACGAGTTTTATGAACGTTTTACAAAAGTCACTGTAGCAGTGCATCGATGCACAATTTTGCTTCGAAATTTTAGTACATCGGTGCACTGTAGCAATGTATCGATGCTCTGTAGCATTGTTCATTAATGTTCACGGTGCTGTTTATACCGTATTTTACTGTTCATAAATACGTTTTTACCTCAAAATTTTATACCAAATAAATTTAACAATATATGATCGTATTTTTCTTAATATAAGTCAAATGTTATGTTATTTTGCAAGAATAAAGGTTTTGAAATGTCAATGTGACATCTCGGACTCGTATCCGGTTCGGGTACGGGTTGGGGTATTATAGTCTTAACTGTTTGCTATATAATAAATAGGCTTCCTTTTGCCATTCTTTATTGGAAATTCCCTTATGAATTGCTTCATCACAAGTCACCCTCTTTGTCTCATTTAAGAGTCTTTGGATGTTTATTGTTACGCTATTAAAACAAAGTATAGTGGCAAATTATCTCCTAAAGCAGTTCCTTTAGTATTCATGGGGTACTTTGTCACTCAAAAGGGCAATTTATTGTTTAGCCTTGTCTCTAAATCATTTTTTGTTAGTGGGGATATTCGCTTTCATGAATCTTCTTTTCCTTTTCATTCTTCTGCGTGGTCTTCTAGATTATTTTCTTCCTAGCCTTTTATTCAAGATTCTGATTTTTTGGTACTTGATTCATTGTCTTCAACAGATATATCCTCCAGTCACCTTAGTCCTCTTGGTCTGTCTTCCTCACATTGTGATCATTTTTCTCAACAGCCTGTCATTTCTTCTAGTCACCCTAGTCTTGTATCTTCTGAAAAAGTCATTCCTGTTGGTTTTGATTGTTCTTTACCTGACCAATCTATTTCTGGTTCTTCTCATAGTGTTGTTCCTCCATTTGAACAAGTTGTTAGGAGATTTTCTCGAGTCTTTAAGCATTCTCTTTGGTTGACTGAATATGTTTCCTGTCAATCTTCTACATCAAGTCATTATCCTATTTCAAATACTATTTCTTATTCTCATCTTCCTCCACATACCCAATTTTTTCTTTCTTCCACTTCCATAATTGAACCTCGTACATATAATGTGGCTATTCAAAACCCTTTATGGATCAAGGCAATGCAAGAAGAGATTCAAGCATTAGAGTCAAACAATACATGGACTATGGTACCTTTGCCACATGGGAAAGTTCCCATTAGATGTAAATAGGTGTACAGAGTTAAGTATCAATCAAATGGAAAAGTTGAGCGCTCTAAGGCACGTTTGGTTGCAAAGGTTTACAACTTGCGAGAATGTGTGAATTATGTTGAAACTTTCTCATTTGTTGCCAAGTTAGTCATAGTGCGTACTGTTTTAGCCCCGACATCCATGCAACATTGGCCTTTGTTTTAAATGGACGTATGTAATGCCCTTTCTTCAGGGCAATTTAGTTGAGGAAGTCTATATGTAGCTGCTTGAGGGATTCCACATCCAGGGGGAGAACACAGTTTGTAGATTGCAGAAGTCTATTTATGGCTTCAAACAAGCCTCCAGACAGTGAAATATGAGATTAACTGAAGCCTAGATTTCTGTTGAGCATGTTCAAAGTAAGTTTGACTATTTACTCTTTACAAAAAGAAAGGGAACTAGCATAGTGATCATGTTTATATATGTTGATGATTTGCTGATTACTGGTAATAATGCTGCAATGATAGATGAGTTGAAAGGAATTTTGAATGCTAATTTCAGAATGAAAGATTTAGGAGAACTTAAGTATTTTTTTGGGTTTGAGATAGTTAGATCAAGTGAAGGAATATTGTTAAACCAAAGGAGGTATGCACTAGAACTTATTGAAGAAACAAGATTAGGAGGGGCTAAACCTGTTTGCACTCCCATTGAGCAGAATATTAAATTTACTACATCAGTTTATGATTCTCAATTGGCTGAAAGTAATGGGCAGAATGAATGTGATGATCAAGTGTTGTAGAAAGAAAAAGAAGTCTTCCAGAGGCTAATAGGGAGACTAATTTACCTAACCCGCACTAGACCAAATATCACTTATGTGCTACACCACTTAATTCAGTTCATGCAGCAGCCAAAGAGATCTCATTTAGAAGCAGCACTTAGAGTAGTTAAATATGTGAAAAAAAATCTTGGCCAAAGAATTTTGTTATTCTCTAGGACAATGCAATTGACAGCTTTTTGTGATGCTGATTGGGCATCTTGTTTGATTACTAGAAGATCAATCACTGGTTTTTGTGTTAAACTTGGGAACTCCTTGGTTTCTTGGAAATCAATGAAACAAAACACCATAGCAAGGTCATCAACAGAGGTAGAATATAAAAAACATGGCAATAACAGTAGCTGAAATTGTATGGTTGATAGGATTATTGATGGAATTTGGAGTGAAGGACTTGCAGTTAGCTAAACTTTATTGTGACAGTAAGGCAGTATTACAAATTGCAGTACTCATGAAAAAACAAAGTATATTGAAATATATTGTCATTTTATTCGGGAGAAAATACAAGGAGTGGCTCAAGCAGACTATATTTCATCAGCAAATCAGTTGGTTGATATCTTAACCAAGGGTTTGGGAGCACAACAACATGAATATTTAATTTCCAAGTTGGAATCAAAGATGTCTTTAGACTACCAACTTGAAGGGTAGTGTTGAGAAGTAGTTTAGAATATTCAGTTTGGTTGTTACAGTTTGTTAGCATTCAGTTTGTAATTAGTTAGCATGTTGACCATTTCATTAGTGTGTATATAAAGATAGAGTTGTAAACAATTTAGATGACTTGAATAATAAATGAAGAATTCTTTTACATTTATTTTTAATAAATATTTTATCAAATCAAGTCGAAAAATTTTGAACTAGCTAAATTAACATGTCTTATTTTATAACTCAAACTTAATTTTGAATTTTTTTCAAGTCGAATTTTCTGGGTTTCTGTTAGAAAATTTTCAATTTTCAAAATATTTTATATTTATATACTTATATTTTAAAAAACAACGAATTAATTTTTGCTCCCTGTACTGAAGGATCCATGTTCCAGGTAACATAGGTGTAACCCTTATCATTCAATTGAGACGTGAATATGGGCAAGCCAAACTTTGGCCCTTCAATGAGACAAGGCAAGCTGGACCTCTATTTCGATTCAATCTGAAGGTCAAATATATTATTTCAAATCACTACCTTTCATTCTTACAATAAAATAAAATTAAAACAAATGGTTTGTGCATGTGAACATACCCAAACTTGAAAATAACACAGCTAATTTGAAGATAGAAAATGCACCCGGGCAAGTGTGTACTCTTTTCCAGCTATCCAAACACCTGTTTGTGACCACTGCACATCTTCCCAGTCAATATTCTCCACCAATACCTGTTTCATCATCACAAATATCCAACTGAATTTTCATGCAATCACTTATATTACAAGGATCAAACTAGCAGGCTGGAAAGGAGGTTTAATGCATCTCGTAGAGACTTCGGAATCTTCTAAGGGTTCTAGGTCAATTTACATGGAAGATACTAAAACAAGTAAAGCACCATGCATTGTCAAAAATGTAAACTATGAAATGTAGTACCTCGACATGATCAAGTGGTAGGGGAATTCCGATTGAACGCATGACCTTTTGAGGAAGGGGCTTCTTACAGCGAGACCATCTGAAAACGTCTGTCAGTACATTATCAGAGTCAATCTTTTCACTGTTTGAGGAATGTGAATGGTGACTTTGCGACTTCTCTGTATCTGCTTCATGTGCTTGAGATGCTGTTGTAGCTTTCACCATTTTCTCTCCAGTAAAACATAGCTCATACCTTCACACAGTAATTTAAAACCAATTAGTACAAGTTTTGTATTAATATCAAAAGCACGATTATTGCGATATATAAAGAACATTAATACCTGCAAGAATGTGTCTCCAAGTACAGAACTTCACCTTTCTTCAGACGGGCAGATGTATAAAGGGGTTTCTTTAGACCTTTGTCAGCAACGATACTGATACTATACTTAATCCTGTGGAAATGGCAAGAATCATTGTGACAGTCGAAAGTGCAGGTTCAGCACAATAAGCAATTAAACAGAAGACAATCATGACAATTTCATACACTACACAATAAAACTTCAGATTATGTACAAGAGATAGATCTAGAACTTAACCTAGCTACCCTAATTCCTTATATAAGCAGTGTAAATTATATTCAGAGGCTTAGATCATAGCTGAATCTGTAGATTATCTTTGACTAATTAGTTAACTGATTAGCAAACATACCGAAATATGAAGGAATTTTTGTATTAAACATCTCCATATATCTATAAGAGAAATGCAACTTCCAAAAAATTAAGATATCAAAAACAGGTCTTGAAGGTACCAAGGCTCATTGCAGAGGTTGTACTGTATTGTAACTTCTCGTACAAATCTTTGCTGACGTAAAGCATTCTGAGAATTGAAGAGCAACATATGAGCTTAGTTCTATTATATAAACAGAAACACAATACATTAGATGATAACGGTGGCAATAAAAGAAAAAAAATTCAAGAACATGAAGTATGAAGCTTCACATTCCTCAACTACTTGATAAATTAATACTCATAATGATCTGCCATAAAAATACGCAGATACCACGTAAACCAAAACCAGAAACTTATGAAGAAGAGGTAACATATCCAACTTATGCAGCAAATGCTTCTTCCATTGCCTCGTGCTTTTAGCATACTGGTTTTCACGACACCATGCATTTCACACAATAATTTACTCCTGACTAGGAAAGGCATTCACTCATGCACATGCATGTGGTTCAAGTTGTATGATATGTTAAATGGTCAAGTTTCCAAATAGTTGTAAACCTATTTCCCAATTGTGACAATGGTTACAAGTTACTGATGCCAAAAGATATGAGATATCGAGCAAGGAAAAAGCATTGACATGTCACGCAAAGCAATACATACTAATTAAAACAACAACTCTTTTAGAAAACACAAGACAAAACTAAAAGTTTAACTTCAAGAAATTAGATGAAAATACGAGGCAGGAAATACAGAAGCTGCTGCCCTAATTGGTCGTTCTACAGCAACTGGAGCAAGGGTGGGCTCCACAGTTGATGAATGTGTGAGGCATGGCTCCAAATCAATTGTTGCACCTCCTTTCTGAAATAAGAAATGGCAAGAAAACACAATATGTAAGAAACAAAAGAAATTATAATCATTTATTGAATTTAGATATAAGCTTTGCATGTTCTTGTTAAACTAATGGAATAAAGGGAAAAAAAATCAGAAATTTGTAACCTTAACAATGCAGCATCGCTCAACACGGTAACTACCACTGATTCCAGCTCCCCAAGCACGGGAACGGACGTTGTTCCTTAGTTTAGAGGTGTAACCTAACAAATTATTGGTGTTATAATGTCAGAATGATACATATAAACAGATTTCTGATGGATAATAGAAATAAATAGAGTACCAAAGATAATATAAAAAATTATGTGTTTGCCAATAGAGCTAAGCAAACAAAGACACTGATGTAACCAATAAAACAAAATCAAACCACGACACCAATTCAGCAAAAGTCAACTTTGGTCCACAAGATTCTGGATTGAGCTACTAGAAAACCCAAATTTTAAATGCTTATCTTAAAATGTTTCCATATACCCAAAGTAAGTCAATGGACTAAGTAGAGCTCATATGTAGGGATTCAAATCGCGATCGCGGTCGCGTATTCGGTCGAGTTGCGTTTACCGCGATTGCGGGCATAGCAGGCACTATTGCGGTGATTGTGGGTGTTGCGGTCATATAATAACGGTCGCGGAGGGCACCGCTACCACTATATCGCGGGCGCAGACCGCTATTTAAATCCCTGCTCATATGTTTATTGTTAATGGAGTTAAGCTGCTGAGGCATGTGTTACTGGAATTAGTAGAAAAACAAGACACGGACAAATTTGAACTCACAATCTTGTGGCGGCAGCACACGGATAGTAGCACGTAGCTCTTGGATAGCTGGTGGAGGTGGGGAAGCAGTTGGACGACAGTAACCAGTATGCATAAGAACTATAATAAAACATCCCAACATCAATGCAAATTGTGTGATACATCTAACTGTTCTATGATTTACAAGGCCAAGGAAGGTCTATCCATACAGAATTCATATTGCCAATTGCCATTACAACATACCAGCAACAAGATCAGAGTCATCTGTGTATATATCAGTCCCCCAAAGCTGGCCACCTCTGACCTGCACATAATGAATTTATAGAACTTAGTGAGACGGAGAGAAAGGAAGAAGGATAATGACCTGGACAACTTTATCCAATTTCAAGACATAAAACCATCAAGATCTCCTCATCATAAAGACCTCTAATATTAAAAAAAATCTAAAAGGCAAATAAAATGTAAAAGAATGCAATAAAAACGAGAAAAAAGTTAGGATCAAGAAAAAACTTCAACTTTTGCAAATTGTAGAATAAAGAGAACAAATTCCTCAAAAGAAAGAGAGAACATCTTTCAGGTCCTACCTGACGATTTGTGGCAGTAACATGCTCAGCAGGTATTCTAATTTCAAGGGTAGGGCCATTTTGAGAGCTTTCACCATTTTTATCTGCTTCAGAAGCTTCATATTCTTTCCACAACTTAATTAGCTCTTGCATGCATTCACCAACTTTATAAACGACAGAAGACACTTCAAGTTTACCTAAATCACAAAAACATTATAGATTACAAAGAAAAAATACAGACCCTAGTGAAATGTCTAAAACCTTACCGTTCAATCAATGACCACAAACAACCCAATTAAAAGATGCATTGAACATGCCACATATAGTAAGTGTGAAAAGGAAGACTCAACAGTCAACAGAAACCATTCAACAATAACAAGACCTATATAGATAACCATGTTATAAACAAGACAACACTTAAAATCACTGAAATACTGTTTCCCCCACTCATGAGGCTCTAGCTCACCCACAGTTCCTTCTAAGCATCCTTGACTCTTAAAAATAATAATGAACTTTAGCATTTAGAACTTGATGACTAGTGATAATCATCTATATTGATGTCACTGATTTAATTATTCCCTAGCTTTGTCCTTTCTAAGTTGAAGATTGACAGAATTAAGGTAGAACACCCTAATACATATCCTACTGCACCTTCAAATAAAAAATAGAGAAAATCTGCAATAGGACATAAGTTTCAGTATTCATCTATGAAATTAATGTGCAAGGTCAAGCCTAAACTACCACTACAAATGACACTCGAACATACAAAACATAAATGTCCAAATGTTAAGCACAGGCCAAGAGAAGCTCTGCAACCAGGATAATTTCTATCAGATCTGTCTCCCCTTTACCAAATCATATTGTCCCCATCAATCAAATATGAAGACAAAGTTGCATTTAAAACTTTGAAATCCAGAATGCACTAAACCACATCTTACCCTGAGATCTGCAGAGTAAAAAGAACATAAAAACTATTGTTAGAAAGCAAAAGTAGCAAGCCCAACATACCAGAGTAGTATTTAATGAAAATGAAAATGTAGCAACAAAAGCTTCAACCAACAGAATTTTTAAACTCGCTTAAAAAGAACTTCTGTAACAGTTAATTTATATGAATTTCATTTTGTGTAAAGATTGAAAGCTTGGAAATGCCCTCAGAACAGAAAACCATATATATAGTCAAGCATCAATCACATAGCACAGAAACTAAGAAAATAAGATGCCTTAGAGTTAATATCAGCGACATTGTTTTTAACAATGAGATCAACTGTATGACAAATGCTACTAAAGACTTCCAAAACATCATTGAAATTAGCCAATACAAATAGACAAACCCAATTAACATGCAGACTGATGTATATGGATACCACAGATTTGAGAGTAAGGGAAAGAGAGGAAATTTGTTTCATGTAGAAAAATTCTAAGGCCAGACTGATGTATATGGATACCACAGATTAGAGAGTAAGGGAAAGAGAGGAAAAGAGAGGAAATTTGTTTCATGTAGAAAAATTCTAAGGCCAGACTGATGTATATTTCGCTTCCCATTCTGCAGCCATTCTTTCCATCCATTGTGTATAGATTACAACCACTTCAAGTTTCAGAAAATTCTTACCATATAAATCCTTTAATTCATAAAGACATTCAGAAAACATAACTTTAGCTTCCATTTTAACTCAAGAATGTCCCTTCTCAAATTTAAATTAATTTGTTACATTAGCAATGAGAAATAAGTAATTCAAAGAATATTTTGACGTCAAGTGCACATAGATAAGAGAAACTATCATCTAAGTACCATTATCTCATTGTGTTCAGAAGTGGGCCAGAGGTTCAATATCTTAAAAACAGTACAAGTGACCTCTTGAACCATATAACTAAAAATTAGATAGTGTTCTCAAATTACTAATTTAATTGCACTAACGTTCATTGTAGTTAATCAAGAGACTCCACATAAGTACTCTTCTATTACTTTCATGAAAGATACAACATAAGTACCAACTAAGATCACATTTACATCACATGTATAATACAATGCAAATTCTCCGTAACTGTAAGGACATTGTCCTCAAATTAATTCCAAATTTCTAGATTTATTCATAATATTTTCTGACAATAAAAATTTTCTTCAACCAGAATTGCGCAGTGAGAAAAGAATTGCAAGTCTTTGTGAAATATTTTTCTTAAAGCTAATTTTTTAAGTCCTAATTAGGAGTTTATATGTCGAGTCTTAATTCTTAATTACAAAGGCTAGAATTCAATGAGATTTTAAAGTGCATGTTTCACTCTAACATGTAGAACAATGCCACGTTAAGGTAAATATGCTTGAAATTAAAATAGCCACTAAGAAGATTAGGAAGACACACCCTTCATTGTCTTGAGGTCGTGGCCGAAAAGCATGCTCACGGTTTGCCACCTGAGGGCTTCCTCTTGGACGAAGCATCCTTTTACGCTGCTGGACTCCAGAACCGAAACCTTCTTTTTCCCTTTCGGTAGCCCCTTCACCATCTCCACACCCATCATCAGATTCTTTGTCAGAGCACCTGCTGCGCTTCTCAGGTCTGTCTCCTTCTGTGTCACCATCCCTTTCTCTTCTCCTATCTCTAGATTCCCTATCAGGATTTTTCCAGCTATCTAAGTCTTTTTGTTTTTTCTGCTCAGATGCCTGATTTTCCTGCTCTTGTGTTCTAACAGATCCATCACCTAAATCCTTGTCATTGTTTGATCCTTCTTTGTCTGCTCCATTCAGTGGTTCTCTCTTCATATGATCCTTTTCCCTCTCTTTTGGCCTTTCTTTTTCCTTCAAATCCTTCCTTTCTCTTTCCCATCTCTCCATTTCTCTCTCCTCTCTTGCAGATTCTTTGACCTCACCACTGCTATTACCTACATTCACGTTGTTCCTACGATCACTTCTTTCTTTATCTCTATCTGCCCAATCCCGGTGTTTTCCATCTTTTCTTTTTCTATCCTTGTCCTTAAATCTATCGTCGTCTTTTGAATCAAACGTGTTCTCACCAACAGCCTCGTGACCTTCTGCATGATCTTTTTCTTCAGTAGCAGAACCTTCCTTTACAACTTCAACAGTTCCTTGTGAATTAGCACGTTGGATGTGCCATGGATCTATGTTTCCACCAGGGTCTGAGTATCTTTTTCCTCTAATGTAGTCCCTCGAATCCTTCCAACTTGAATGAATACTTGCCCCACCATAAAAATCTTTTTCCACGTTCAAATCACCCTTCGGACCACCATAATTCTCTCTATCATGTTTCAATTCTTTACCCTCATCTCCCCTACTCTCAAAGCTACCAACCTTTTCACCTTTCCCAGATGGATACTCCCTCTTCGCAGAATCAGCAAAAAACTCTCTGGATTCCACCCTTTGTTCTCGACTCTCAGCCCTAATCTCTCGGTTTTCCTTGGCATCCCGCAACTCCACCCTACCGTCAGAAAAACCCTGATGAGAATCCATGTGTGTATCATTCAAAGCAACAGAAGAAGGCATTCTATACATGGAGTGGTGTAGAGGTGACCTTCTACCCGAATCACCATGAAGCTCGGTTCTAGGAATCCTAGGCATTCTAACATCTTGCCCCATGTCATAAGGAGCAGGATGATGGTACTCGGCGGGAACCGAAGACGAAGGCATTTTAGGATAAGCAGCAGTTTCCTCAAGAGGGTATTTAGAAGCAGAAGAAGGCTGACCACCACCTTCTTCATGATATCTCTTCGGAGCACCACTCATCTTTTCAAATTCACTAAAAAAATCCAATTTAAGAAAGTCACTTAATGACGAGATGAAACAAAGCAATGAATTTTCCGACTTATCCTCAAAAAAGGAAAAGAAGATAACCCAAATCTTCTTTTTTTCCAAACAAAAGAGTCCAAATCTGAACAAGATGAGAAAACAACGTTCTAAGAGAAAAGGCATAACTTAAAAAGCTGGTGACATGTTTCAGCAGCAGAATAACTTGAATTAAGAAAAGTATGGTATCGAATTATAAGAGGACGAAAATACAGAAAATGTGAGGAGGGACTTACCTTGGATTGTGGAAGTGAATTGAGAGTGAATTGTTGAGAAAATAGGTATTAAAGTCGAAGAAGATGGGTTCTGGTTCAGGGTTTTCTCTATTTCTGTTTTTAATATGACATATAAAGAAAATCGATGAATGTTGGAATTGAATCCTCGAAAGCCAAACCCTGTATTACAGTACGCAATAGCGCATCCATATTTCAATAAATAAATAGTAAACTACGCAAATTATTTTTAATGTTTAAGTAAATTTTTGTTTTGACTACTGATGTTTTAAAAGTTATAAATAGGTCAATAATGTTATTGTTTGTTATAAATTTGTCACTTAACGTTAATAGCCGTTAACAGGTGTGACAAAAAATAAAGTTAGCGTGTTAGTTGCTTACATGAATTGGGTTGACCACCACATTGGAGACCCAAAAATTTGAAACAATCACCTCTTCTCCTTTAAAAAAAACTTAATCCCTAAATTTAATTTAGAGTTTCCAATCATGTCTCTATTCTTTAAAAAAATTCTAAAAATTTTAAGAAAAGAGAAATCTTGTGAAGATGGAAGACTCCATTGATGTTCCGCTTTGCAACTATGAATGCCCAGTTAAGATATTATTTTTTTTTATTTTCTATTAAACCCAAAAAAAACTTACCATAAAGCATAACGTTGTCCCCTTTTTCTGTAACCTACATATAAGTACGATGATTTTTCTGTACTCGTTTTTCTCACTATTTTTTCTCTTAGACAAATTGAAGAATGAGAAATTGTTAAATTTAGAGTTAGAATTAGTTCCTGATGTTAGAAATTAGTTAGTGATTTGTTAGTTAGTTAGTTACATAACCTTATAAGTTATATATATATGTGTGTGTGTGAGTTTGTAAAACTTTCGGTTGTATGATGAATATACAATTTCAAAACTTCTTGTCTTTCTTCTATGACTCCCTTTCTTTGGTACATCTCTATTTGTGTGTGAAATTATCCAAAAAAAATGTTAACATGGTATCATTCGCCAGGCTATTTTTTCTTTAGCTGTGTTGGACTTTGTTTTTCCTTCAGCTTATTTGTTTTTTCCTCTCATTTGTTTGGTCTAATTGGTATTTCCCTTTGCTTGCTTCTCTCGTTCTTTCTCTGTGAGATTTTGATAACTTCGTAAAAATGTTACTTTTAAAGTCTTTTTTCATTTAAGTTATTCTTTGTCTAAGTGTTTATATAGGTCATTTTAAATTCATATAGTTTCATGTAGTTGCATTTGTGATGGTTGTGTTATTTTTACATTGTTAAGGTGTTATATGATGGGAAATGTGTGGTTGGTTAGTGATGTACAAGAAACAATGAGTATAGGACAAGTTGAGAGGAATGTCACAACATCACATGTTGCTGAAGCAGACTGCAATGCATTGTCATTTCTGGCGCAGAAAAAAAAACAAAGAGATATTTTCACAAAAGGACAGTTGTTAAAGCACATGTCTTCTGCTTGTAACCGCCTGAATGAGGTCCACTGTCACCTATGGAGATAAACTTCATGCACAAGGGATGAATTTGAGGGTATGATGGGTATTTTGAGTGCAAAACTTCCTAAGAGTATGCTTACATATTTTATTTATAAGAACACATCACAAGGGAGAGAAGAGAGCTCGGAGAGAGAAATCCATCATCACCATCTTCTACATTTTCTCTACCTCCATTATCGTTCTTCTTTCTCCATTTTTATTGGTGTTCCTCTATTGGTGAAGCTCGAGAGAGTGGTGTAGCATCCGAGAGGATCTCGCGCTATAGTCGTTTGTGGTGGTTTAAGGGAAATGCCAATCGTGCACACCTAGTGATTTCTTCTCCAACCTTTGCTCAATTTTTAAAAGCTTCAAACTTTATTTGGGTTGTAAGGTAGAATAAACGATTGGATACTCCATGGTTTGTTCAAACCCCACCATGAACTAAGCTATAATTGGTGGGGTTCATTTGATGGATGCTTGAAACTTTATTTTAATGTTTGATGAACGTTTATCATTTGTTTTTATTTGTTTTGTTTATATGTGCTTCATCTTCTAAGATTGTAGGAGGCATGAGAGTGTTCATTTCTTAGATGAAGACTAGATATTCGAGAGAAATCTAGTCACTAATTCTTAAGTGTTCGAGAGAAACTTAAGTAAAATTAACATAAGCAATGGGGTATAGTTAATCACTATAGCATAATCCCTTAATACTTAAGAGAGACTAAGCTAGGATTTCAACAACTAAGAGGGGTAATGCGTCATCAATAGTGTAGGTTGTCATAGTTGAGACTGAGAGTAGATACTGTGGCATTCTATTATGTTAGGTTCTTATGACTAGTGATAGCGAGAACACTTTTATCAAATTCTGTCGAAAAAGTAAAACATTAGAAGACTAAATCAACTAGAGAGATAAGTTTTCAGCTCCTTAAGTGTCTCCCCACCATTCATTCCCGAAGTAATTTACTGTGTGAGGCTTATCAAGCTATTCCATTTGTTTGTTGTTTTTATCATTTTACATTACCTCAACATTTTCATCATTTTCGTCATTATAAAATGTTCTTTTGCCACAACATTATTCACCCAATCACATTCCCTCACCATCATTTAATTCACTCTCACATTTCCATTGTCGAAGCATCTTTAGTATATATATCATTTCTATCAATCCATGTGAAGACGATACTCACCCATCACTTTATTACTTGTTCGATTGTGCACATCATTTGCGTATAATTTTATAGTACTCACAACACGCAACATATTTCTATGGCTGAAACAATTGTTTTTAATCATCAACTGTATCTTCATCCTTCAGATACACTAGGAAGTCTTCTTGTTTCGCATCAACTTGTTGAATTAGAAAACTACAGTATTTGGAGTCGATCGATGCTGATTGCGTTTCTTGCCAAGAACAAGTTAAGTTTCATCAACGGTGATTGCAGGAAAGTTTATTTTGATCTGGCGTTTTAGTCGCAATGGGAGAGGTGCAACGCTATAGTCTTATCATGGATCTTAAACTCGGTCAGTCGTGAGCTCTCGCCAAGTATTGTATTCGCTTCTAGAGCCGATTTGGTTTGGCAAGATTTAAGAGAACATTTTGACAAAGTCGACGACTCTAGGATTTTTTTCTCCACAGGGAGATTGCGACTCTTGTTCAGGGTGAATTGATTGTTCCAGCTTATTTCACTGGGTTGAAGTTGTTATAGGATGAGTACGATGTCCTTGTTCCTTTTTCTACATGCCCTGTGAATTTTCTCAACAAAATGCGATGCATATAGCTCAGCAGCGCCTGTTTCAATTCCTTATGGGGCTTACTAATGATTATTCAGCAATTCACAGTCAAATATTGCTTATTCAGCCTCTTCATACTGTCAACCAGGCTTATTCGATGGTTGTTCAAGAAGAATCACAAAGGATTCATTTATCTGGTGTCTCTGCCTCTGAAGCTACAACATTGTTTTCTCGTTCTTCTGGTAATTCTGATCATCGGTGTTTTGCTGGTGTGTGTGATTGTTGCAAAATCAAAGGTCACTGTCGAGAGAATTGTTATCGCTTAATCAGTTTTCCACCGGAGTTCAAGTTTACTCGCAAGAAGGAGGCTCAAGTTGCTATGGTGGTCAATCCTGTTTCTGACAATGTGGTAGATGCTGGTTTTACAAGTTCTATGGCTTCTGCAAGTATTCAGAGTGCACCAGTCTTACCACAGAGCAGTATCATCAAATCCTAAATCTCCTGAATAATTCATCTTCACTAGATTCCGCTGTGAATCATACAGGTATGGTTACTGATAAGTTGCCTGCTCTAGCTCACCTCTTCTTTTAATTCTTGATACAGGGGCTACAGACCATATTTTGTGCGATTTTTCGAGCCTGATTTCTCCTCGCTCAGTTTATATTCCTAATGGTCAAACTGATTCAATTACTCACATTGGATCTTGTCGATTGATTGATACTTTGGTCGTTTCTAATGTCCTCTACGTTCCTAAATTTCATCATAATCTTCTATTTGTTTTGAAACTCTCATGAATTAAATTGTTCTGATAGTTTTTTTTCAAGATTTTGTGTCTTGCAGGATCTCTCCAGTGGCAAGATCATGGGGATTGGTAAAGCTTCCCAAGGATTATATATATATATTTTTAGTCTGCCATTCAAAATGCTGGAATAGGTTCTTTGTCTTCAAGTTCTCATTTGCCTGCTAATGTTTCTAATAGTAATGCTACGATGTTTTTTTCTCATACTACTGATATTCATATCTGGCATACCCAATTGGGTCATGCTGCAATTTCTACAATGAATAAAATGCCCATATTTTCTTCTGGTATTTCTAATGTTGATCAAATTAAATGTTGTTCTAGATGTCCGCTTGCTAAACAAACTCGTTTGCCTTTTCCCGTAAGCATAAAATTTAATGTTCTATTTACTTTAATGCATTTTGATCTATGTGGTCCATATCACATTCCTACTCAAAATGGCCATAGGTTCTTTTTTACTATTGTTGATGACTGTACTCGTATGAGTTGGCTGTTTTTGCTTCGTGTTAAGAGTAACGCTTTACATTTTATCAAACAATTCTTTGCTTACATTCAAACACAATTTTCAGCTTCTGTTAAAATTGTTCGTAGTGACAATGGGTCATAGTTTTTTAGTATTGGGTGTTCATCCTTTTTCTCTTCTATTGGAATAGTCCATCAAAGATCTTGTGTCCATACACCTCAGCAAAATGGGGTGGCTGAAAGAAAACAGAGGCATGTTCTTGAGGTTGCTAGAGCTTTAAGATTCCAATCTAAACAATCCCGTTTGGAGGATGCACTTAGGATTGTAAGGTATATAAAAAATAATCTTGGACAAGGGTTGTTGATGGAAGCAAACAGAGAGACAATTGAAGGCTTATTGTGACTCAGACTGGGCTTCTTGCTTAATGACAATAAGGTCAACTTCTGGTTTTTGTGTTAAACTGGGGAATTCATTAATATCTTGGAAATCGAAGAAACATAACACAGTGACACGCTCTTCTGCAGAAGCCGAATATAGAAACAAGTCTGTCGTTACAGCAGAGGTGATCTAGTTGAATGGTTTGTTGACAGATCTTGGATTTAT